GGGGCTTTATGGCAGAGTGGCCTGACGGAAGCCTCTCCTCAGTGCAAGACACATGAAAGCCTGCCTGGAGTTTGCTAAAAAACACCTGAAGGACTCCAAGATGGTGAGAAATAAGATTCTCTGGTCTGATGAGACCAAGATAGAACTTTTTGGCCTTAATTCTAAGTGGTATGTGTGGAGAAAACCAGGCACTGCTCATCACCTGTCCAATACGGTCCCAACAGTGAAGCATGGTGGTGGCAGCATCATGCTATGGGGGTGTTTTTCAGCTGCAGGGACCGGACGACTGGTTGCAATCGAGGGAAGGATGAATGTGGCCAAGTACAGGGATATCCTGGACGAACACCTTCTCCAGAGTGCTCAGGACCTCAGACTGGGCCGAAGGTTCACCTTCCAACATGACGATGACCCTAAGCACACAGCTAAAATAACGGAGTGGCTTCACAACAACTCCGTGACTGTTCTTGAATGGCCCCGCCAGAGCCCTGACTTAAACCCAATTGAGCATCTCTGGAGAGACCTGAAAATGGCTGTCCACCAACGTTTACCATCCAACCTGACAGAACTGGAGAGGATCTGCAAGGAGGAATGGCAGAGGATCCCCAAATGCAGGTGTGAAAAACTTGTTGCATCATTCCCAAAAAGACTCATGGCTGTATTAGCTCAAAAGGGTGCTTCTAGTAAATACTGAGCAAAGGGTCTGAATACTTATGACCATGTGATATTTCTGTTTTTTTTTTTTTTATAAGTCTGCAAAAATGTCAAAAATTCAGACTGAGCTGTGCTTTAACAGAAGGGGCTGACGGGCTGCAGGGGGAGTGTTGTAAGCATGATATGACCACATTGTGATGAGTCAGCGTGAGCGGCTTCATTCACATTTCCAACCCTGGAGTTCCCATTGTGTTTTGGTTAGCCATGCTGCTAATGTAGCCTACTCTACCTTAGGACCTATTCTACCACCAGTGTGTCGGCACTGATAGATAAAAAAACACTGTAACATTCAGTGCTAACAAAATGCATGATGTGTCGTTGTTGTGCTTTAACTGTGGCCCAGGTTTGACAGTGAATAGCAGTGAATGCTCATTCTAACAAGGTAAAAAATATTAATGTTTTTCCTTAAAACTCTGGAAGGGGGGGTACTCCGGTCTCCGGTGTTAGCATAACATAAGCACCAGGTAGTGTACAGGCTATGGGTCAAACACAAGCTTCAGGTGAACCAGTGGATAGAAGCAAATGTACTGTAAAACATCCAGCTGGGACCCAGAGTGGTCACAGAACCCCAAACAGTGCTGGTAGGTTTGATTTGATTTATTTATTCTTTCAAACATGTAACAACAGTCAGTATGTAATCACATGTAATTCCAGACATATCCACAAAAATATTTTCAATTTGCTTATACCTAGTACATGCTTGAATGGAGTAGGAAGAAGTTAGACTTATCTAGTCCTACCTCCTAACATCATCTTATCATCATTGGTTTGCAAGCAGTATTACTACATGGATACATATTCTACATCCACACTCCCATCTGGTTAATCATTAAGCCTGTTCATGCCCATATCTTGATTGACACATACCTTTATATCTGTGTTTAAACTCATCAATTTTCTTACTGTTTTTTATGTCCACACTTAAATTATTCCATAGTTTTACTCCACTTATCGAAATACAGAATCTTTTTTTGGTGGTGCGTATAGCATGAATTTTATAATTTAACTGACCCCTTAGATTGTATCCCCCTTCCCTTTCATCAAATAGTTTTTGAATTCCACCAGGTAATAAATT